ATTTGATGAATATTATGGATTATTAAATGATTGTTGAACTAAGAATATGAATTGATGAATAATGTTGTTAAGGATATCTAGAAGAACTCTAAAGATATACCCACTTGTATAATGATGATGATTATTAAGGATATCTAGAAGAACTCTAAGATATACCTCCTTGACCAATTCATATTTCGGGGTTAAAACGTACGTACGGGATCCAGAACGGATATCACCCACCCGGCAGTTCAATGTTCGGTTGGTACGTAATCCACATGACTCATAGGGTGGATTATCGATTCTTGTGTTCTGCATTAAACTATTTATAGTTTAAGGGCCTGGTTAGAATTACTGTCTTAGACTAGGAATAGCTAAGAGCTAAATATAAAATGATGTGGCCTTAGATTAAGAATAATTTAAGAGCGTTGTTTGAGATATAGAATATCAAATGACTTGGAATAAAATATTGAGGATAGCATGAATGTTTGAATCATATATTGTGTGCATGATATCAAATGGTTGATTATGAATTGAGATTCAATTTATGTGGATGTTCGACGCAGGTAACCAGAAAGATTAATGTGATCGTGGCGGCAGATGGGGCGAGATTGTCGGGATGGATGTGACAAGTTTTGAAATGATTTATGAAATGTCAATATTAAATTCGCTTCCGCAATATTTTTAACTACTCCGTACTGTATATGTTATGAAAAATATTATTGAGATTAATAATGTGTGTTTGAAATGTTTTAAATTATCACGATTACCAAATCAATACTTTAGTCCGAATGGGGCTGCAGACCTGGACGGATTAGGGCGTTACATGACTATTCCAAGTCCATTAATAGGTTTGGTGACAATGTTTCCCATGCGCAACAATGATCCATCTTCTGTTGGCTCCAATGAACTAAGGCATAGTTTTTTGAACTTATTTTTTCTACTTATTATTACTTATTCTTTTTAAAATCAAAGCAGATCACATGAGATGAGATCAGATCCATTAGATTAGATCCAATCAGAATTATTAATGTTATTATTATTATAATTATTATTGAAAACCTATTTTTGTTATTAACTTTCAGGAATGGATGAATAGAGTCATGGAGGAACATGTCTAATCATGAAAAAGGATAACACCAACCCTGACTTATTATTATTATCATTATTATTTTTATTATTATTATTATTACTATTGTTATTATTAATATTATTATTATTCAACCTATCATTTGATAGTTTTTTCACATTTGTCAATCTCAGATTCGAAGGTAATGTTCATGACTTAACTGTGTGGAGCCAAAGCTTGTCTGAACTAACATTTTGGTTTCCACATCCACCGAAAGTTTGGGAGATCCCTGAAGAAGGTGAATTATATTTAGCCACGGTCGACTGTGGATACCAAATGGTTGACCGTGAAGGTGGCAAACATCGGATTTAATATATTGGGCGGAGGACAGTCCATTCGCTCGAACATGGTGGAGGAACGGCCGACCGTTCCTGGGCAGTTAGGGTTCTTGAAATTGCCTATTAATTTCCTACTTTTACTTGATTTTAATTATTTCTTTTCCAAACAAATTTAAATCTTTTCAAGGTATATTTTGATTGATTTCCAAGATCAAGGTGGGTGGAAGGAGCCAAAGAAGATTATCTTTGAAGATATTATCAAGATAATTACTATTTTCATTACATGGTAATTATGAGGATAAGATTAGATTAAAAGGACTCATCTTTCTTGGCTTGACATGGAGGTTAGGAGGCACAATCAAGGAAGATCAATCAAGGTTATTTCCTAGAAATTGCTTTGATAATTTCTAGAGTTTGACTTTTGTATTTTTATTTATTTTAATTAAGTTGGGAGTTTAGTTAATCCGGCCCGATTCCATGGCCACTGGATTCCAGTGGCTACAGAAGCCACTGCCCCCATACGGAGCTCCGTTCATAAAATTAATGATTCCTACCCCCCAAGTCTCGACCCAAACTAATCACCCCACCTACGTCAATTACACCTCGTAAGTCTAATTGACTTTAAAGTCAAAAGTTTTGACTTTATACTTACGAGGTGCAATTGACATAGGTTGATGATTAGTTTGGGTCGGGACTTGGCGGGGGGGGGGTTACCGGGGGGTTAGAGGGGGTAAGAATCATGAATTTTATGAACGGAGCTCCGTAGGGAGGCAGTGGCTTTCGTAGCCACTGGAATCCAATGGCCATGAAACCGGGCCGATACTCACCATGTTTATAAATTGGTTTTGTATTTCCATTTGTAAAAAGGTTGAAATTTAATGAAAATTTGAGTGTGTTTTGGAATCCTGTGTGGGTTAATTTGATCCTATGTGAGTTGAGAGATTCCTGAGAGTTTCGACATCGTGCAAGTTGTAAAACTACACCTTTAGTGTTGCCACAATGTGTTTCGTGGAGATGCTAAACATATAGACAAGTGAGTCTCTAAGTAACCTTATCCTTACGCATGTTCATACGAAAGAATCTCATGAAAAACAAACAACCTGCCTTCCACCGGGTTCAAGCACATCATTTGGTATCAAAGCTAAGTCCTTCTGAACAGGTGTTTTATCTTGTTTCTACCATCATTTTAATTTTCTTCCATCACTCCACCACCATTTTCTAATGTTATATATTTTAGTGTAATTGGAAAAACTATTTAACCAATAGTATCATAATAATCATCAAAGACGTTTGGCGGTGCAGAGTGCACGGTTCGCTGAGTTTGTTATGTTAAAAGTCTCATTTTTACAGAAGTTCCAAGGGGGTAGTGGCCCCTTGTTGGGGGTTCGAGCGCAGCACCCCCGAGCAGGGTTCAAGGGGCAGCAGCCCCTGCGGCTGCGGGTAGGGCTGGCTCCGGAAAATCGAAAATCGAAAACCAAACCGAAATCAATCGAACAATACCAAAAAAAACCGCACCACAAAAACTGGAACCGAATTCAAAAAACCGAACCGATTGCATTCGGTTGTGGTTTTGGTTCTCTAAAACCGAACTGAACTGCTAAAAACCGAAACATGTATAGTTTAATTAGTTTTAGGCTTTTAGCAATTTTGTGTTTTAGGTTTACGCCATTACCCGTAGTCAAGTCAGACTCCATCGCAGAGACGACAATCTTCCTCGCTGCGCTCTTCAGATCTCCAATCTTCTTCGCTGCGCTCCAAGTCTCCAACATCCAACTTGCCAGTTCGGCACACCCGCAGTCCAACTCGCCACAATCGGAAGTGAATCAGAGTCAATCACAGTCCAACTCGCCAACTCGCCAGTTTGCCACATTCCCTGGCGGGCAACAAGTCGCCACAATCCTGAATCAACTTCTCAATCGCTAGTTTCTTCTTCAGTCGCAGAAGGTATGAAGCATATGTTCTTTAATTTTTTTATCAAGTCATTCTAGCAAATGTTTGGGGAACTTTCCAGCAAATGTCCGGGTATGAAGCATATGTTTTTTATTTTTTTTTCTAGCAAATGTTTGGGTATGAAGCATTTGTGCTTTAATATTTTTTTAATGTTTAAGTAATTTTCCAGCAAATGTTTTGGATATGCTTTGGGTATCCTTGAAATGCAGAAATAGCAAAATATCCTCATTTCTACTTCTTGTTGTTTCTTGGATAAAAACTGTATCTTTGATCATATGTTTATTACAGGGAGTAAAAAGTATGAAGCGGCATTCTTTTTATTTACAGTTTTTTACTGCATTTCTTCCAGTTTACTGCATTTTTACTGCAATTTTTTTACTGCAGTTTTCTGCATTTTTACTACAATTACTGCATTTCTTCTAGTTTTTTACTGCATATTTACAATTTTTGACTGCAAATTACTGCATTTCTCCCATTTTTTACTTGTAATTGTAGTTTATTTATTGTTTTACTTGTAGGTTTTTCAAACTTTACTCTCTTCTAATTATTTGGCATATCTATATAATAATAGGTCTGTACACAAAATATTTTTTTACTTTTAAATTAATTTTTTTAAAAACCGAAAGAATTGAAAAAAACCGAAATTTAAACCGCTAAAAACCGAACCATATAACGATTGGTTTTCTCTTTTTTTATACAAAACCGAACCGTACCGCCAATATGGCTTCCGTTCTGTCTTTGGTTTTAGGTAAAAACCGAACCGTTAAAACCAAACCCACCCCTACCTGCGGGGTCTAAAAGTAAGCTTGAAAATTTTTTATTTTGGACAAAGTGCTATGTTAAAAGTTCATTTGAATTTTTAATTTTTGAATTTTCCTTAAAGGAAAATTTTGAGAAAAGACATAGCCCGTTTCTTAAAATTCGCGCGAGGGGAGATGCACGTTTTAGATGGGAGACACGACCACAACCTTTCTTCCCTTCCGCAGCTCTATAAATCCCGCATATCCATGCCATAGTCGCAAAAACACAGTTCGAGATTCATAAAAATGCATACCTATTCTTGTCAAATTTGAGTTTTATTTGGTTGATTTTTGGATAGAACGTCCAAAATAATCAATCTTAAAGTGCTACATGACTCTCAAATTGATCCACGTTATCTTCGTTTTCCCCAAAACCTAATCTTTCAATGAATTTCTTTGTGTCTACCTTGTGATAAAAAAAGTTCAGAAAAAAATTTGTCAAAAATATTAAAAATAATCTTTTCATCTTGTATTAGTCATGCTTGAATTGTTCTCTTCATTGTTGTAATCTAGTAACTTTTTATTGTAAAAAATAGTAAAAAAAATTGTGTGTTAAAAAAGAGCCCAAAAAAAAGAGAGGGTGTAAAAAAAGAGTCTAGCAAAAAAAGAGAAAAAATGTCTAAGGCTAGTGAGATGTCCACCCAAGAGATGCTTAAGAAGCTCATGCTACAGAAGGGGGAAATGAAACTCGAAATGCATAAAGGAGAAGAAGAGATACCTACACTTCGAAAGGAGATGAAGCGGATTGCTAAGGAGAAGAGGGAACATGAGCCTATCCAATTTCGAGGCTACGAAGAGGGTGAAGGGACTGGCTACCGAGGCTTCACAAGACAAGGACGAGAAAGATTACATATGAAATACCAAGATCAAAGTTACGACATTTCGAGGTACAAGTGACCCAAACAAATTTGTGGGGTGGGTGCAAACCTGTGAAGCTATGTTTTCATGTGGCAACTACAATCAGCAAAGGAGGTGTAAGCTCGCCATCACACAGTTTACCGACTATGCACGCACTTGGTGGCAAACATATTGTGAGAATCGAGGACAAGATGACCAAGCACCAACCGGTAGATGCGAGGGTATACATAACAGTAACAGTACGAAGTTTTGAATGTTGCAGAAGCTTAACAAATCAGAATGCATAATTAATTTATTCAATTCAAAACTATCACATCCATCCTGATTGTCTCGCCTCCGTCTGCCTCCAGGATCACGTCCCATCATTCTACCTGTGTGTAGCAAATAAAACACACTACCCGCTCAACGTTGAAGCTGAGGAAGCAGATCTAATGCGTCGAACATCCATATAAATTGAATCTCAATTCATAATCAATCATTTGATATCATACACATAATGTTCAGTTCAGATATTCAATAATCAATATTCGATATTCATCAATCAATATTCAACATTCATAGTGTCAACAATGCTCATAAACTATTCTTAGTCTAAGGCAATTTAATATTTACCAACTCTTAAACTAATTCTAGTTTAAGGTACTCCTAACCAACCCTTAAGCTAGGCCTAGTTTAAGATACAAATTTTCAAAAAGGTTTTCAAGATCTTAAACTTACCTTTGCTTAAGGTTAACCAGAAACTGAACAGCGGACTACTCACCGTCGGGTTGGGTGGTACCCCCAAATAAGTAGGTACTCAAGTTTTGTTCGTAGATCCCGTACATACGTTTTAATCCTAGCCACCGGACATCATACCTGCAGGGCCTAAGTAAATGGGTATATCTTAGAGTTCTTATAGATATATTTAAAATCAACATCAATTAACTAAAATGGTCATTTGGGTATATCTCAGAGTTCTTCTAGACAGCCTTAAAAAATCAACATCACTATGGGTATATCTAAGAGTTCTTCTATATACCCTTAACTATACACATCATTTTCATAATCATTAATGTGTCCATTTTTTAGTCATGCTTTAATCATTCATATTTATTACTTTAATCAGAATATTAGAGTTTAATCATCATTACCATCCATCAGTAATATTCATAATAATCAAAAATCATTAATAATCATCAATAACAAATAATGGTCTAGCATCGAGTGTTAACACTCTAGCTTACCGTCATACACTACATAAGGTTTTTATTTGTCAAAAATATCATTTTATTATGAGAAATTACCTTTATATTGATAATAATTGATTGGTATAAAAAATAGGATTTTATAGCTCAAAAATAGCATTTTCAGAAATATTTTCGGATCAGAAATTCGGGATGGATCCACACTAAAGGAAAATACTCCCAGGTGATTGGATCGATCCACTCTGCTGGTTTTTCGATCATAGTTCATCTTCTTGTTCGTTGAGCAAGTTTTTCTCCAGCTCCATTTTTTGTCACCAAACTTTAATTAAATTATATAGAAATGTTCTCCAAGGTTCATAGATTATTTTGGTATCCTTAGTTCATAGTTTTAACAACAATTTCAAGGTTTTGATTTTTGGTTCTTCAAGCATGTCAAACACAAAACTCAACTAAACGACCCTTTATGAACGTAGAAACGATCTAGACAAACATTCTAGTCACTAGATATATCTACGGGCTTACCTCGAAACTTAATGAAGGTTTTGGAAATATTCTGGTGAAACTTCCAACGAAGATTACTCTTAGCTCCAGCGACTTCACAGTAAATTGACAGCACCACTACGTTCTCCACATTAAGGCTAACTCTTAGAATAATTTTGAAGGGAAATGGTAGAAGAGGTTGTTTATATAGGAAGAAGAATGAGGAAGAAGACATGAAAGATGACCTTGCTTCTCCTGTTTTGGCGTCTCAATGGAGGGGTTGCGATGTTTTCGATTCCAAACGCAAGTCCCTGATTGGGACAAATTTTTTTCTGTTTGCACCGTTGCGGACAACATTTAAACTCTATGTAATGATATAATTTTTATATTTATTTGCAATACTTTTTTTGACATCATATTTTTGGGTTTTTGACTTTGACAGAGTCAAAATTGGTTTAATTGACCTTGATTCAAAAAGGTTCTCATATTTAATTCACATTAATTATTTTCATAATTTATTTAAATAAATCATTTCAAGATTCACATCATAAGTCAAATTCTTTATTTATTCTTGATTTGGGTCTGTACTCTAGTTCCCAATCAAGATCACAAAATGAGTCAACATATTGGATATATCTCTATGAGATTTATTTAGATTGTGATAATGGATACCAAAACATGTTTCATTTTGGCCCAAAGCCCAACAATAATTTATTTTAGCTAAAACAAATTGAATAATAATTCAATAATAAATTTTAGGGCATATTTTGGGGTGTTATAGGAACAATATGTCTCTTCGTTCATTTTCCCTGAGTGTGACTACTCCCAACGTCATTTCTTCAATGACTTTTTGAATTGCCCAATTTAAATCCCCAAATCTGTTGAACCCGTTGTTTTTTGTCATCAACTGTTTGCTGAAGCTACTAGATTTGTTGATAGGCTCACTGTAACTCATTTTTTACATAGAAAATTTCAACTCTATTGCCCTAACCTTGTTCGACTTTTCTACGCCAATCTTTCGTTCAATGGTAGAATTTTAAAATCCTCGGGTAATGGAGTTGACATTGAAATGACCCTAAAGGATATAGGTGAATTTCTTCATCTACCCTTTGATGGGTGCGATTTTAGCAAAACCACGTTGAGGGAATTTCGTAACTTTTCTCCCTATGACACCGTTACCATCATTGGTAATGGAAACGTTCGTCAACTTGAACGTTTAACCGTTGGAGGCCTTAAGCCTCATTTTCGCATTCTTCACTATTTTATTTCGAAAGTACTAGCTCCTCGCAAGATGAGCCATTCAAAAGCACTTTCTTCGGACATCCGTCTTCTTTATGTTTTCGTGAAGAATATCAAAATCAATTGGGCAAAATTCTTTAACAATCACCTTCTCTCTATGAAAGCCAAAGGATCTCTTGGGTATGTAATCCCGATTATGGCCATTATGCATATGTTTTTGGTGGACATCACAAAGGACATTCAAGTCGAGATGGATTACACGTGGAGCATCGACGTAGCGACCTTCAACCGCTCCAATATTCCAAGAGACGTCTGTGATCAAGAAGAAGAAGGTGCAGAAGATAGTGGTGAAGAAGAGAAAGAACTGGTAGGCAACCAAGGCGATAACCCGGTGGTGCCTTTCGAAGCGACAAGTCAGTGGTCATCTTATTCCCGTGCATCACATTTTTCATCATCTCATAGCTCTCATCGTTCCCTCCTTCAAAGGATATTGGATACAGTGAGTTGCACTCGCATTGAAGTCACGATGCAGGGACATCGCCTCATGCGTCTTGAGCGGCGGATTACCAAGATCGAGCGCCGACCATTCTTCGGACCGCGTCATAGCTACAGCGTAGGATCTCGTCTGGCAAATTCGCTTTGATGCTTTTCTTTTTTCATGACTTGCTTGATTGAATGTTTTATGATGTTGGTAATTATGGATGTTATTGATGCATTACTTGATGACTTTGTTATGTGTTGTTTATGAATAATTGTGGATTAGTTTTTTAATCCTTCATTATTATTATTGGATGATGCATGATGTTGGCTTGGCAATATTGTTCTTGTTAGAACATATAGTAGTCCCTTTATTTATCAAATTGCAACTAGTTCCTTTTAAAGGAAACTCTTGCAATTTTTTTTAAGAAAAATGCTTTTTGGGATATCCTTCAATATCCCGACACAAATTAAGGGGAAGGACATCGGTTGATAATGCCAAAGAGGGGAAGGAAGGATAGTTGAGAAAATATTTCTTTAAAAACGTTTTTCACTTAAGAGAAGTATTTTTTAAGATTACTCTTTTCTATTTCTAAACTATGTTTGTCATTATCAAAAAGAGGGAAATTGTTGGACATGAGTTCAAACCCCTTTTGGATATTCTGCAATATTATTTTTTAGGTTTTGATAAATGACAAACGGAACGATGAAATCGATACGACAGTCGAAAATTTATTTTCGAATCGAGAAAGCAAAGAGTGTTGGGAAACGAGGCTTGGATAACGCAGCGGAAAACAAATATTTAGAGTCTAAAACTCAATTCCACCCAAGAACAACTTACGTAAATTATTAGCTATAGTAAGAAAGTTACCTTAACGGTGAAAACGGAGAACGGAGAAACGATCGGGGATGGTTTTGAAGAGATGAACGTTGCGCCAAACGTATGAAGGCTCCAACATCTCCAAACGAACTTGCTCTAGAGTCCTAGATTAAACTTGTGCTAGCAAGTTTAAAATAGGATAGTAAAACTATAAAATTACTACTTTGGGGACTAATAAATATATAGTAAATATTAATCTTATAAATATTTTTTTAATAATATTTTGTGTATATTTCTAACACTTTAGAAAAATGACTTAGAACACAAAATAATATATTCTTCTCTTCCTTTGAGGTGGCCGAAATATGTTATTCAAAATGGGGAGGAATTTTATTTCATTCTATAATACATTACTTAATGTAAAAATGCTATGAAGCTTCCTTGAGACATTTTGGTGTGATAATTAAGTTATCAAAATATAATGTCTCTAACCACCATAACAAAACAAAAGAAATTTCTTCTAATCAAATATTAGATTAAATCAAAAAATATACCATTACGTAGAAAATCAAATAATGTCTTGTATTTTATTGATAAAATCGACACTCCCATTTAAAATTGTACATCATATTTTATTTTTACATCAATAATTATCATATAATTAAAAGGATGAAAATAATATACATACATATATATATATAGATACATACATACATACATACATACATACATATATATAGGTATGTATGTATATATATATATATATGTATGTATGTATGTAGATATATATATATGTGTGTGTGTGTGTGTATATAGATATATATATATATATATATATATATATATATATATATATATATATATCTACATACATACATACATATATATATACATACATAGATATATATATATATACACATACATACATTTATATATATATATATATGTATGTATGTATATATATATGTATATTATTTTCATCCTAATATATATATATATATATATATATATATATATATATATATATTAATGGGGGAGGTTTTTATTGCACTCTAATAAAGGGGACAAGTTTGTCCAAAGAGATTACAGTAGAGATAGCTCTAGGAAGTGAAGAAAAGCAATCAAAGTAAACACATTGAGAATTCCTTGCTCCCTGCTTAGCTAGGAGGTCCGCCGCACCATTGGCTTCTCTGAGGGTGTGGGAGAGACGTAGATTGAGAGTTTCTATCTTCTCCTTGATGAATAAGAGAGTATTCGACGTTGGGACATCACGTAACATGTGTAGGAGTTCCATGCTGTCGGTTTCAACGACCATGTTTGAGAAGGAGTAATAACGGAGGGCTTGCAGCATTGCAAGGGCTTCTGTGGATAGTGGTGAAGTTCTAGGTAAGGGAAAAGCTAAAGCATGAAGAAAGTTGCCTTGGTGATCTCTTAAAACAGCTCCACCGCCGCAACCCCGAGGGTTTGCACTACCATCAACGTTGAGTTTGAAATGGAAGGGGTTGGGAGGGATCCATCGAATAAGCTTGAATGGCTTGAGAGGAGTCCGATGGAGCGTGATTGGAAGGTGCATTCCTTTGTTTGCTAAGGACCATGCATTTAGGGTATGCTTGGTTCCTTCTAGGATTTTCTCTGGTTTAAAGTGTTCCAGGTTCACTTTAACCCTGTTGTATGCTTTCCAGATTTCCCAAGTGATGATGGTTGGGATAATACGTTTGACATGGTAGAGATGATCAGTAGGGGACGTGGACAGCCACCACATGATTAGGTTATGCTGGAAGGAGGAGTTGGATATCATAGGCATGTGTAGTAGTTGCCCTATGTTGTTCCAGATGTTGCTGGTTTTAGGACACAACATAAGGCAGTGGTAGTCTGTTTCGCTTGCTTGGGAACAAAACATGCACATGGAGGGGAGATTGAAGCCAAGCCTTTGAAGGTTGTTGGAGAAGGGGGTTGCTTTGTTTAGGGTTTTCCAGAGGAATAAGTTTGCCTTTGGGATTCATTTTTTGGGCCAAGGAGTTTTTGCCGTGAGCGTGGAGGGATCTGATTCCTGGAGAGCAAGGGAAACCTTTTTGAGGGAGAAGGAACCTTGATCTCCTAGCTCCCATGTGAGAGTGCCATTAGTGAAATTAGAGTTGGAGGAGCAGAATTCATGAGCTTGACAAATTCTCTTCCAAACCGGGCTATCTATGATAGTGGTGGTGAAGAAACCTCTACGGTGATAGCTTTGCTTAATGAAGGAAACCCATGGTGAGGAGGTGAAATGGTATTTCCACCAAAGTTTACACCCCAGGGACTGTTGAAGGAGGCTAAGGTTTGGAATTCCTAGTCCCCCTTC